CCCAACTTCCTCCCAGGCACCTGTGCTGGGATGCAGGGTGGCATCCGGCCTCCACACGGTCAGAGCCTGGATGCTCACCTTGGCGCCCTCCTGACAAGGGGTGTGTCCTTCTCATCAGGTCTGTAGGCAGCACACTTGTTCTGCCTCAACGACCTGGGCTGTCTCCCCTTCTGCATCACACGGGCTCCGTCATCTGACCACAAGGAACCGCAATGCAGGCTGGGATCGGGTCCCTTCTTCTGTCCAGGGGAGGAAGAGCTCATTTCATTCTAAGAAAAGAGTAATAAAACAGGAGAAAAGAAACCGCCAGAATTCTTCCACCCAAAATTAGCCACTATTAATAGACAGCCATGAATATAGAAATAGAGATGTGAATGATATAAATATACACATTATTATTTTACAAATCTGAATCATGCTTCTTTGTTACCGTTTTTCACTCAGTGTCTTCTCATATTCTTCAAAGGCCTATACCAGCTCGTTTAATGCCTCTGTTATACAATTGGTTCATGGTCGCTCAACGTCCCCCATGTGTGTGACCCCAGGTCTCTCCCTTCCTTGGATGAACAGCTTCTTTTCTTCACAGTGGCACTTCAGGAGATTTCTTCCATTGAATAAGAGGCCTCCTCCAACATTAATGGCAGCTTTTTCAAACAGCTGTGAGCCGATTTAACATAGACTCATGGGCAACAATGTGCCCTCAAGGACTGCCAGAGACTTTTTCAAACGATGAGTTAAGTTCAAACTCTGCTAAACATCAGTAGCTGGGAAATGAAGGTAATTTGGAGTAAACTATCCTCCTTGAACCTTGATTCCTGGTGACAGGAGCTTTCTGTCTGTGTTTAAAATGCTGGTTCAGGAATTTTCAGGTGATGGGTCAGACTCTACCTTCTGAAAAATTCAAATAATGTATACAGGTTGGGTTTTCTGGCATTTTTCCCTGTTCTCTACGATTTCTCTTTAAAATGTCTTCATGTTTCAGGGGCACCTGGGTGGCTCAGGCAGTTAAGCGGACGACTCTAGATTTCGGCTCAGGTCATGATCTCACAGTTCTTGACATTGAGCCCCAGGTTGGGCTCTGTGCTGAGTGTGGAGTCTGCTTGGGATTCTCTGTCTCCCACTCTCTCCTTCTCTCTCCCTCTCTCTCTCCCTCCCTCTCTGCCCCTCCCCCACTCGCACTCACCCTCTCTCTGTCTCTCAAAATAAATAAATCAAACTTAAAAAAAAATGTTTTCTTGTTCCGGCAATTCCTCCTACATGTTACCTGCATTCCCTGGGTTGTGACTGGTCTGGGCTTCAATATCTGGCAAGACCCCTGCTCCTGTCAGCACAGCCAGCTTGTGTGCCAAGCCCCAGTCATGTCACCTCTCCCCTCTGTCCCCTCCTCAAAGATGACCTGGGCTGGACTTACCATCGTGAACACGATGGAAGGGGCTGTACCTCACAAGCCTGGAGTCAGCTCTCGGGGCCTGTGGGTGAGTGCCAGGGAGGGGCCCACGGACTGGGTTAAAGGCCACTTGGGAGCCCCTGATGTGCCGTCCACACTCTGCCCTGTGCAAGAATCCCAACCAGACCATGGCAGCATCTCGTTTGGGCTTTCAGGCACATAGGTTCTTCATCATTGCTCTTGATGATAAGAAATATCTTCGCTCACAGCAATATGACAGAGAAGCAGCTTCATGGTTATTTGTTGATTTACAAACTCCATAAATTACTTGTTCTGACAGTCTGTGAAATAAAATTCTTTGTCATTTCCTTGCTTCGTATAAGCTGCTGAAGTGAATTTGCTGGAAAGTTTCTTCCCCTAACATTCTAGGTAGTCACGCATCTGAAAGGGAAGTAGGCAAAGTATTTTTAACTGCTTTCACCACTGGTCAGATATTTCTATCATCTCTCCTCAGTAGGGCACCGAATTGGCTGATGACCACATTCAAAAAAAGCTGTTCCTTATTCAGTATGGGTAGGGTGGCCCCCCAAACTTCCATCTGGAATAAACTTAAGACACACAACACATATTTACCCAACAGATACCTCCTTAAATGATGTAGCCTTGTGTCTCTTTATTACTAATCAGCTCTGAGACTAAGTCAGTCAAATTGTTTAACAAACTCATGGCACCTGCCAGCCTTGTTCTTCTTCAGGCGGTTCCTTGGCTAGTCTTTTATTTTGCTCTTGCCTATAAATTTGAGAATCGGTTTAGCTTAAAAAAGAAAGAAAGAAAGAAAGAAAAACAATAGTCTTCTTGGAATTTTGATCCCTCTTTACAGATAGAGAAACTGAGATCCAGAAGGGTTACTTTACCTGAAGGCACATGACCAGTAAGAGGTACAGCAGAGGTTCAAACCCAGACAGTTGGACCCAAGCCCACGCTCGGCCACCACACTAGTCTAGGAAGAGAATTTGAGGAAGTGTGTGCAAAACCAAAGCAACCAAGGCCCGCCTGCCTGTGATTCCCCCTTAAACATCACCAGTATTACATAGACTCCTGCTTCGTGCGGTACTAGCGAAGGTTTTACTTGAGGGCATGGTGGTCCCTGGTCTTTTACAAGGGAAAAAAATCTTCCGTGTTCTTTGTAATGTCCTACTATTGACTGGAAATCGAGGAAGGCAGCATTTCATTCCCTGCGTTTCCAAAGTCCATTATCTTCCTTTTCTTAGTGTTAAGTCAGCATAGCAAAGGATTTGCAAAATACTTCACACGTACTAGATCGTAGAGACCTAGGGAAGAATCCTACTTCTTTTGGCCAGATTGTCTGGAAGCTTTTAGTGGCTCATCTAGGGACAGTGAATAAAGCGCATGAATATTCAACATCGTCCTGTAACTGCTGCCACACTGTAAACCAATGTACATCACTCCTCTTTATGTGGCTCCTAAAAGTCAAGTGCATTGAAAGGGGGCTGCCAGCTTAATGCCTACTCATTAGAGAGAGACTGAGTGTGTTGGAACCAAGTGTGTCTTTGACAACCTGGAGATGTTTGTGGGAAAAGCCACCTGGGAAAGGTCAGAGACGTGATGCATCAATCAGTCCCCGCAGACCCTTGGCTTTGTGCCAGAGAGCAGGGCTTCTGGGGGGGTCGGGTGTCTCAGCTGACTCCAGAGAAATCAGGCCCAACGTTACTTTCCACTTCCCCCTACCAGAAACATATGGAAACCAGGCAGGAGTACCGTGTACCTTCCAGATCATCTAAGCAAGTGTAAATGTTCTAGAGGAACACACCTTATGTCTGTCCTGCTGCCCCGGCCATCTTCAAAACCAGTCTGGGTGACCAGAAGCAAGTCCCATTCCCCACTCTGAATATAGCTTGTGATTTTGAACTCCACTGAAGGCTGCACTCGTTTTTGCCTTTGGGGTCATCTCTGAGCTGCTCCGCAGAGCCCAAGAGAGCTCCCCAGCTCCCCCCTGGGAACAAAGCAGCCCAGGCAGGTGCACAAGAAAGAACTTGGAGATAAGACAGAGACCTATGATTAGTTATGGGCTGTGACAACCTTAGGCAAATCACCCAACCTGTGAGTCATCTCAGTTTCTTATTCTGAAGAATGGGATAATAATAATACTCTTCTCATTAGATTCATGGGAAGCTTAAAATGATATAATAGATGTGAAACTATTATGTAGATTTTTTGGTGTTATTAACAAAGACTGATCTCTCCATTATTACTGTTGGAGGGTTTATGCTAAGTTTGGGCTGCTTCTAGAGAAGTTTGCAGTGAGATCCTGCTTCCAGGAGAACCAGGCTGCTGTGCGTGACTGCCTCAGCTTCCTTCCTTTTGCCATCAGAGTATTTGAAACTCCTGCCTTCACACTTGCCCTCAAAGGCTTGTTTTGCCACACTGTAAAGTCATATCATTATTCCATTTTGGGGTCGGAGACTGATTACCAGGCCGTGAGTCTGGCTGCTATTTGAGTTTCTTTCTGATTTTAGAACTGTGTGTGTGTGTGTGTGTGTGTGTGTGTGTGTGTGTCAGGGGTGTGGTGGGGGTGGTTCTCTTGCCTTCATACTTGGTCATTTGTGTTTACTGATATTTCAAAGCCCATTCCTTGTCTACCTTCATTAAATCATTCCACATTTTTTTTTAATTAAGCTCCCCGAGGGGCGCCTGGGTGGCTCAGCCAGTTAAGTGTCCGACTTCAGCTCAGGTCATGATCTTGTGGTTCATGAGTTCAAGCCCCACGTTGGGCTCTGTGCTGGCAGTGCGGAGCCTGCTTGGGATTCTCTCTCTCCCTCTCTCTCTGCCCCGCCCCTGCTTGTGCACTCCCTCTCTCTCAATATAAGTAAATAAACTTTTTAAAAAAAATTAAGCTCCAGCTATGTGCCGATGACTGCTCCAGTCACTGGAGAGAAAATGATGATCTTCAGGAGAACCGTGTACTTGGGAGCAGTGACGGTGCAGTGGGGGAAGGGGTAAGAGCAGAGGGTGTCCTCCAGGGATACACTGGGACAGGTGCTTTGGCAGGCAGAGGCCACCCCAGGGGTATCCCTAACGTCACGCGGGCCAGCTTGCCAGAAGGGACGTTGGAGCAGGCAGGATCTGGAGGAAGAGAAGTGGGCGGGGGAGGGTGTTCAGGCAGAGGTGGCAGCAGGAGGGGACACCGGAAACTCAGCCTCTGCTGTGATCACCAAAGACAGGAGCTCGCACAGCAGCTGAGCTGCAGGACTCGAGCCAGCTCGGCCACCTGTGAACCTGGCAGCCGTAGAAGCTGTGGAACCGCGGCCGGGCTGCTTACCCTCCCAGGACCTCGGTCCCCTCCTCTGTGCTAACAGTCCCAGCCTCACGGGGTGTTAGGGCAATGAAAGGAACTATTACTTTTAAAGGGCTGAAACCCGGCCTGACATAAGTAAGCGCCACGTGACTGCCAAATAAAAAGAAACCAACTCGTGTACAAAGTGTTTCATTGTAAGAGTCTATTTTAAGAGGGTTTTCTTCCCCCCCCCCCCCCCCCCGACTCTAAAAGCACGTCTTATATTTTTGTAACGTGTAACACTGGTTTGTGTTCTAGACACTTTCCTGGGTGGCGGACCTTGGTTCCCTCTGGAAATATTCTCCTGCGAGTATTTATTTGTCTGAATCAACGCAACCCCGCGCCATGGACCTCCTCGGGTTGCTGAAGTCTCAGTTCCTGTGCCACCTCGTCTTCTGTTACGTATTTATCGCCTCGGGGCTAATAATCAACACCGTTCAGCTCTTCACCCTCCTTCTCTGGCCAATTAACAAGCAGCTCTTCAGGAGGATCAACTGCAGACTGTCCTACTGCGTCTCCAGCCGTAAGAGTCTCGTTTATTCTGTTTGTATCCTCACCGCTGCGGGGTGTCGGAGACAGGGCTGGGAGCGGCTCCCCGGGCTTGCCCGGCGGCCCAAGCTGCTTTTGGTTCTTTTGTGTCCGTTCCTTTGTTTTAGGTTGGGAATGTCTGCTTTGTCCTCACTCTTCAAAAGCTAATTTTTGACCGAGTGATGCCAGTAGCCCACGGTGCAGCTCAACAGGCGCAGAACGGTAGCCTCTGGAAAGTAAATCTACATTCTGTCTGTGTTTTCATTTTCCTCCTCAGCGGCCACCAGTGTTAACGATTTCTTAGTTGCCCTTATGGAAATGGCATTATTTTGTGTACTGAGATCTTTACGGATTTATGGCTCTGATGTGTGTATGCAGGTGGGTCTGTGTGCACATGTTTGGATACATAATGTTTTTAACAGCGAAATGGCAATGTAACGTATTGTTCTTTTGCCCTGCATCTTTAACTTTTTATTTTGAGATAATTGTAGACGTACCTGGGGTTGTGAGAAATGACACAGAGAGCTCCCCTATACCCTCCAGGCAGTTTTCCCTAGTGAGAAATAACTTCTTGCATAACTACAGTATAACATCCCAACAAGAAAACCAACAGTGACACAATCCACCAGCCTTATTTAGATTTCTCCGGTTTTATGGACACTCATTTGTGTGTTTGTGTGTCTGTGTTTGATTATACTCAGCTATTTTAAACGTGACTAATTCCACTGGCCCGAATTTCAAAATTGAAGTGAAAAGAAGTAAATCAGAATATTGGGAGTGCCTGGAGATGAGTTTTGTTGTTGATTGACCTTAAACCTGTACCTATTCTCAAGAGTACGGAAGGCAGTGTATCATTACCAATTATACATATGGGTGTGAATATATTTAAAAATATGAGCTCTTTCACATCAGGCAATTTAAAAATCTCAGCTATGTTAGATGCACCAAGAGTCCAAAATTATTGGCATCTTCCTGAAACCCTTTAAATGAAGCAATTAAATGTGAATTTGAATCCAGACAATACAAGCTGCTTACAATTATCCAAATGGATTACTCCTGATCCAATCAGTTATTAATTTAAACCTCAACATACCGACTTGTGACAAGAAAATGATAGAAACATCCTTATCCGTGATTTCTTTCACCAACTCAGAACTTACAAATCTCTCTGATACTATTTCTGATAGGGTGTCAGTGCTAGACCCCTAAGTCTTTTATTAGTGTGTTTTATATAAATATGTCTTGAAGATATTTATAACATCCCAAAGGCAAGCTATAACTGCAAAAAAAAAAAAAAAAAAAAAAAAAAAAAAAAAAAAGAGAGTCTTGAAGCCATTTGTCTATGGCATATTGGATGCGGTACCCGATGCCCCAGTACATAATGCAAGTCTCCGTGTCATACATTTTACTGTCACGTTGGTCTGTGGTACTTAGGGAATGACTCTTCAGAGCACGGTGGCCGTAGTAAGAGATGTCTGAGCTGAATTGTAGCTGTTTGAGGAGAGAAGAGTTTGCATAGTCAAGAGAAGGCGATCACTGTCTGAGACGTACCTTATGATTTTAAGGTAAAATTTTAACTCCGGTAATTGGCATCTCTTTAAACAAAACTCAAATTTAACAAAGCAACGCTGATTGCGCTCTTCATCGAAACCTGTATTTATGTGATGCGCACACGCCTGTGAGATACCAACATCTGTCAGTTTGCAAGCTGAAACCATGCCTGTTGGCACCATCACAACCCCAACCAAGTGTCAAGCACGTGGTTCAGAATTGGGTTTCTCATTTGGAGTCAAGAAGAAAGAGGTAGAATTCGGGAGGTGAGTTCCCAAGAGTACTCGATTTTGCTTGTAGTAGGTGGGGAAGACACCCAAGGCTATGGCAGGATAAGGTCCAATTCTTCCGAGGGTGCTTTAGCCCACTTGTTTCTGGTGGAAATTAAGATGGGGGACAAATTCAGAAAGCAAGTGCATTTTTGCCCATCACAAATTGATGGAGTGATTTTAGAATAATTCCAAGTGGAAGTCAGGAGCTAACCATCCAAGACAACTAGCATTTTCCCCACACAGAGTGTGATGGACAGTCTCACTACAAGGCCTGGGAGTACATCCATCCACGGTGTCCCAGAGGAAAGCTTCTGCAGGCTCTGGACTGAATAGAAGCAGGGCCATTGTACAGCTATGTGAATAGAGAAGGGAAGGAGCAGCCGTGGCTCCTGGGGAAAGAGAACATGGTAGGAGAGAAGGGCAATGCATCCCGGGCCCGGCTTGGGGGCACCTCATTATAACGAGTTCCATGCAAAGCAGATTCCTCACCCCTGCTGCCCTGGCATGTGTTACACGGCAAAGCTACTCTCCTTCTCTTTCTCCTTTCACTTGTTCTAGCTGGTAGATATCCTTATTCCCTGAGTGCTTCACAACCACAACAGAGGACGTGTAACACACAGACCGTGGGCCGTTGAAGGTCATGGGCTACGGTCCGTGGGTTCCTCGGCAGCTTGGAGTAGGAGACGGTCAGGTTCCTTCTGTTGGCTTCACCCTCCTCCTCTTCTCTCCAAGTTGAGATGAAAACTGTCTGTGGGGTTTGATTGTGCCTTCTGGCGTATGAATCAGTCCGAAGCTTAGAAAATCGGCAGCAGCCATCCCTGGCCACTGATATTTGAAGAAAAAAGGCAGAATAGATTGTCTCCTGGAGACTCAGGCCCCCTCCCGCACCCTGTTCACTTTACCAACAGGGCTGTGTCATCATCCCTTTTTCTTTAAATGTTTGTTAAGAGCTTGGTGTTGTGCCAGGTAAATCCGAAGTAATCCGCGGCCCTGGTGTGGGGAAACGCACGTGCCAAAGGCCACACGGATGTGAATGACAAGTAGAGACGAAATGCAGCAAAGACAGCGTGGTTACTGGCAAGACACACGGTGCAGAGAATTTCAGTCTAGTGGCCAGGACTGACATCATGACTAACAATTTGAAGGCATGTTTAATCTAGATGGCTGGGTTTGGGAGGGTTGTTGTATCTCACTTGCCCCTAGATTTGCCCGCACGAAAGGCTAAGACAGGCAGGCCGCTGAGTGGGGACGGGCAGGGTGGAGTCAGCTTCTGCAAGGAGAGAAGCAGGAAGAAAGTGACAAGATGCGAGGCAAGGCGTGGAATTGAATTACCTTTCCATTGCACAGGATGTGCCTTTTAATATCCAGGGAAAGGTAGCCAAGATTGGCTGGCTTGTTTTTCTTCCCTTCTGACACTGCAGGTTTAAAAACAACCACAACAACAACAACAAAAAAAAACCCAAAGATTAAAAGAACCTGTTAATGGCAGAGTTTTTAAGAGGGGGTAGGGCAGGGGAGGACTACAGATGACTTAATGTTTCAGCAAGGGAAGGACTCTTGGTGAGCCCAAAGCAAAATGGAGACACCCCTGTTCCCTCTCCCCCACCCCGCACCCCCCCAGCCCCGGGGCCTCGCTGCCAAATTCTCTGCTGCTCTTCACTGGCCCTGTGCAGTTGCAATGCCATTTAGTTGCTCTGGACTGAGGCGCCCACGGTCACGATGCCTGCCTGACACACAGCTCCAGGGCCAAGGCCGCATGGTGGCGAGGGGGCAGCCAGCATCTACGGTGCCAAGATGTACAAGAGAACGTCCTGCCTTCCTGCTTACAGCCTGACTCTTCACTTCTCCCACGGTGGCACTTAACTCCTTGGATAGGTAACTCCAAAACACGAACTCACATTTGAAGAAAAGGAATGGGGTGGAATTGACCAAGATTCCAAGATTTTTCTAGTTAAGGGTTTAGATTTTTGTTTTTGCCCTTGGGAAGATGTTCCCTCCTGTCTTTACCACCCCTGCTGCTCCCCTGACCTGGTTGATGGCCACCTAATCAGTAGTAGGCAGTGGTTGAGCATGACGAGAGAAGCGAGCTTCCGGTCACCACCTACATGTGTCCTGCCTTGGAACAGACGCTAGTTTTCCTGCTGTAATAATAATACACATTGGCAATGGACTCTGGGGTGTGTACGTCACTTCGGAGTTGTGACCTGAGGAGAGGGCTTGGAAGTCTGGTGAGCTTGGCAGAAGTCAGTCTGTGATCCTCTCTGGAAGGATCAGGGCTCAGGAACTTTTCGGAACAGCCTCAACAAAGGCACGCGCACGCAGGCAGGGTGGAAGCTCTGAGACGCCCACGAAACTGTGTGTCCCCGAGGCATTCGATTCCGGGGATGCGTGTGAATCAAAGACCATGGGGAGAGAGAGGTAGCCCCATCCTCCTGAGACAGAGACCAGATTCTTCCCCCAGCCAGCACGCGTCATGGGTGCGAGAGTGATCCAGCAAAGAAGGGGCCGCTGTAACCTTTTCCGACATGACCTTGGGAGAAACGATATGTCCTGTGAACCTGGCAGCTGGCTGATCCATGTCTCTCTCCCCAGCCTGGTTGAGGGCAGGGCTGAGTTTCTCATTTCAGTCCAAACTGATTTCTCACTCTTCAGTCCTGGAGAGGTTTGACCCCTTCACTTGCCACAGTGAAGGGATGTCAGAGAGGCTCTTTGTCAGATAATCCCAAAGCTCCTAGTCTTGACCCTGCACACGCTGTCTTGGCTCCTGCTGAAATGTGGGTCTGGGGGGGACCTGCCAGTACCTCCGCTGGGAGCCACAACCCGAAACCTGGGTGTTGTCATCACAGGTCTCCGGCTGCATCCTTAGCGGGTGCCAGGTGGTGAGCACCTCCCCGGAGGGCACAGATGCCGGGCTGTAGATGGACAGAGGCAGAAAAGCCTACAGTTGGCGCTCTCTCCTTTGCTACAGCTCTGTGATCGGATGGTGGCTTCGATGAGTGGTCAGTGAAGGGATTCTGAGGACTCATGATAGGTGCCTCAGCGCTGCCCCTATGGAATACCATTCTAGAAGGCAAAGTCTAGCTCCCTGAGGGACCCTCAGCTCTCTATGGGGACCCCTTCCTCTCTGCGCTCTGTCACCCGCTGGCACCCTTTGCGTCCCCTGAAGTGCATT